GATCCCTATTATGGTAACTTATGGGTAGTTGTCAAAATGATGGTCCCTTTTGGGGTACCCTAAATAATAGGTGCCGTATTATAATAAGGACCCAAAAAGGGACCATAATTTTGACAACCATCCATATGTAAACATGAGCGGAGAAAACCTGGGTTCTTGTTAAGGGATTTAATTTAAGTTACCATAATAAGGAAACCATATTATTTACTATAGATCCCTATTATGGTAACTTATGGGTAGTTGTCAAAATGATGGTCTTTTTTGGGGTACCCTATACAATAGGTGCCGTATTATAATAAGGACCCAAAAAGGGACCATCATTTTGACAACCACCCATATGTAAACATGAGTGGAGAAAACCTGGGTTCTTGTTAAGGGATTTAATTTAAGTTACCATAATAAGGAAACCATATTATTTACTATAGATCCCTATTATGGTAACTTATGGGTGGTTGTCAAAATGAGGTCCCTTTTGGGGTACCCTAAATAATAGGTGCCGTGTTATAATAAGGACCCAAAAAGGGACCATAATTTTGACAACCACCCATATGTAAACCACCCATATGTAAACATGAGCAGAGAAAACAGACCATGACTAGATTGGCTCACAATCTCACAGCCCAAGACTGCACAGCATGTTCGCACCCAAGAAGATGCAAGTGAAGAAGACTGTGACCTCGAACACGAAGCCCAACAAACCGTAAGCCCTATATAAGCTGTACCCCAGAAGTGTAAGAAATGATAGACCTGAAGGCAAAGAGTCTAAGGATCCTGGGTTTGAGGCTTGAGGGTTTCGGTGCTTCAGGTTTTAGGGCATATAAGGGGTTTAGTAGTGGTTATAGAGTTTAAGGCTCAGGGTTTAGAGTCTAGGGGGTTTTGGGTTTAGAGTTTAAGGCTCAGGGTTTAGAGTATTTGGGGTTTTAGGCTCCAGGAAGCCCTGAAGCTGGGAGGCACTATGAGAGAGCCTCCTTCTCGCTTGGACTTCTATCCCAGACGGAGTCACGAATGACTGTAAAAGGTGTGCGGTTAGGGTTTAGGGTTTAGGGTTTAGGGTTTAAGGGTTTAGGGTTTAGGGTTCAGGGTTCAGTAACAAGACTACAAGCCAGATCAGGAATATATAAAAGCCATCCCTTAGGCCTGCATCCCTGATCTCCAAAGCTCTAAATCCTGAGCAGCACAGGCGATTTGGGAGTTTCCGAAACTAGGGGACCCTAATATAGTACCCTAAAGAGTAGGATCCCTATTATAAGGACCCCAAAATAAGGTACCCCTTGTTTTCGGAAACTCCCATTTAAGACTTTTTTCGTAGACCATTTGCCCCAAACCAACAGCCAAAACCAAGGTAGATACGCCGACGTCCCCTGGCTTCCCCACCCTAAACCCGAAACCTAAACTGAGCCTCGACCCGAAGTAAACCCTAAACCGAACCCTAAACCCGCAAAACCTAAATTGAACCTATACCTTATTATAAGCCCTAAACCTAAACTGAACCTAAGCCCGAAACGCCTAGACCCTAAGCTGAACCTAAATCCCAACCCCAAAACTGAAATCCATCCTAAACCCTAAACCCCAACACCCGACACCGAAATTGGACATAACCCTAAACCGCTAAACCGGAATTGAACCTGAACCCTAAATTTGAACCTAAACCCGAAACCCCAAACGGTGTCACAAACCCCAAAACCCAAACTGAACCTAAACTGTAAAGCCTAAACCGTGCAAAGAAAGAAACACAAAGACAACCCCGAACCTAAATCTGAAGCGTAATTTGAACCTTAAACGCTAAACTCCAAAAAACTAAACTGAACCCTAAACCCCAAACCCCAAACCATAAACCCTAAACCCTACTTCATGTCGACTCTTCAGCTCGGCCTATCTTCGCGAAATCCCGAAGGCTTCCCGTCTTCCAGGGCGCGGCCCCCTGTCGAAGATTTAGGGTGAAGGAGTTAAGGATTTAGCGTCTTGTTAGGGCTTTGGATGGTTTGTGGTTTAGGGAAGGGATTCCGTACACTTCGAAGATCAGACTCCGGGGGTTTAGAGTTTAGACTGTGGGGTATGAAACAGTTCAGGGCTGCAGAATTTTCGTTTCGAGGTTTGGGATGGTTTCGGGCTCCGGGGTTCAATGAACATCTAGGGAATCTAGGGGCAGGCGGCTTGTAAAGTCGGTGTCAGAACTGGCGGCACGGTGGTTGGAGGTTGAGGGCTTCGGCTCGGGCAGGCGTGTGCAATTTCCTGCTTTATGACATACGGGCTCATAGGGCTTGCCATACGAGCTGAATGCTGGATAATGTGACTACGGTGTCTCTCCATTCTGTCAAGATCAGACACCCATCTGGAGGTTGCCAAATGCAGACAGATGCAGGCCGCAAAAGGATCGTGCAAAACGGTCGCTCCGGGATATCAACTGTTGAGGCGCATGGCCGGGGATTTCGGGATCTGGATGTTGTATCTGGTGCAAAAGATCCCTGGAACAGCTCCTTTCCGACAAGGCATGCAACACACACACACACACACACACACAAACAAACACCCACGCACAGAGAGAGACAGAGAGAGACAAAGAGGGAGAGGGAAAGAGAGCGAGAGAGAGAGAGAGAGAACTAGAGAGGGAGACCTTCCTAACTGCAAGCCCAGCCTATTGCCACGTAAAGCAGGTCGTGCTTCCCTTTCACCGGCTTTCCGATCCGGGTTTTTAGGAGTTCGAAGCGGCATGGCAGGAAGTCGAGTTGAAGGGTCCGATGCAGTACACGCAACAGCTCTTTGTGGCTTCTTGTTGGGCCCGGGCCCAGGCTACGACGCCGACGACGCCAAGTTGACGGTTCTTCTCATGTCAACCTGTTCCGTAACCACATGTATCGGCTCAAACCAACCAGTGGGAGTAGTGGACATTCCATAGCTGAGTAGGGTCAGAGATCTTTGGGTGCAACATTTCCATTCGTGAAGGGAGAAGGCCGATGAGGCAGTCGAATCCAGCCCACAGGATCCTAAATCCCGACCGCCTCCAGGAATACCAGAGACAGCAGTATGGCCGCACTCTTGTTGAAGTTACCTGCCTTGAAATGCGCTGCTTTTGCTTCAGTCCGAATTATGGGATACTTCAGTCCGAATTATGGGATAGTCTCGGGCTTGGGCCCGGAAGCTAAGCCTTAAACATGGACATCCGACGAAGAGCTGGCAAATGCCCCTCGTCGCACGGGTATTTGTGCATTTACTGACCTTGTCTACCCGAAAGTGGCACACTACAGTTTCTGCACCCAGAATCTCAAGCTACGTCTCCTTATAGAGCCTCAAGACCAGACTTCAGATGTTGAGGGGCATTCAGATGGAACTGGGTTCTGAGGCATGTGATACAATAGGGACCACAAGGGAATACTACTGTTCATGACTTCGACCCCCCCCATATTAAACTAGTAACTGCCTATAGTCTCCATTGTAGTTCCTTTCTTTGGTTTAGCCAATTTTCTATTAAGGATTATATAGGGTATCCCCAAAAAGGAACTACAATGGAGACTACAGGTGGATCCTGAAGTTGACGACCATTTCTTGCCGTTGTGTTGCAACTGGCTCCGGGCCGCGTGGCAAGAAGGAGTTTAGGAATGGCGCAACGTGGTTCGTAGACCGATCGAATCAACCCGCACAGGAGTTAATGGTTCTTTTAAGAAGGAAATGGGCGTCAAGGGTCTTTTCGTCCTCAATGTGTGGCCCGGTGGGACAACCGAAGGCAGCCTGCTCCTGAATCACATCTTCTGAACTGCAGGGTTGAGGGCGTAGAGTTTGAGGCACAAAGAGAAACGAACCTCCAAAGTTACCACCGCAATACTAATGAGAAAATTAAATATATACGAATATTAATATGAGTATATATATAACTGTATATACAACTTGTCAAGCTGTATCTCCAGCTCCCCATCACAGAGGCTCCAGCGAAGGCCGAGGTCGCTGGACTAAGCTTCACGACCATGAAGGTCACGTAAAGGTTATAGACCTCGAGGGTTTCGGATGTAGGCTTAGAGGGTTTAGGGTTTAGGGCATGAAGGTCACGTAAAGGTTATAGACCTCGAGGGTTTCGGATGTAAGCTTTTATTGGGGATAAGGGTTTAGGGCATGAAGGTCACGTAAAGGCTATAGACCTCGAGGGTTTCGGATGTAGGCTTTTAGGGTTTAGGGTTTAGGGCATGAAGGTCACGTAAAGGTTATAGACCTCGAGGGTTTCGGATGTAGGCTTTTAGGGTTTAGGGTTTAAGGCACGTAAAGGTTATAGACCTCGAGGGTTTCGGATGTAGGCTTTGAGGGTTCAGGCGTCATGTGGGGGCCTTTGTAGTTAGGATAGGGTTTTGCGGCCCATTATACTATACTTATAATAAGGAACCCCCACAATAGTTTTGGAAATTGATTTAGGCCACTATATTATAGGTAATGGACCTGCAGGGTTTCGAACTTAAGGGTTAAAGGGTTATAGGGTTACACACCTGCAGGGTCGAGGATCTAGGATTTGGGATGTTTTGGGATCTAGGTTCTTTCTTTGTTGAGGGTGTTGGGGTTTATAGGGTTTAGGATCTTGGGCTTTGGGTTTAGGATTTAGGGGTATAGGGTGTAGGTTTCCCAACTTCATCAGACATGTGCAGATAACGACGGAAATGAGCCAGAGAAAGCCTGCCTTCCGGGCACCAGAAACACTGCTGGCTGAAGTTCGAAGCTTCAGGGCTTGTTGGGCATCTCCAAGCTTTTGCATCTTGGGCTTACAGGATCTTGGGGCTAAGGACTTGCCTGCAGGGTCGTCGGCCCGTTCACGATTTGGGGGTTTCAGATAATAGGGGAGGGGACCCTTATATAGTACCCTCAATAGTAAGATCCTTATTATAAGGACCCCAAAATAGGGTTCCCTAATTTTCGGAAACTCCATTTAGGAAGCCGTGCAGCCCATACAAGGCCCCACGGCCTAGCGCCTGAATCCAAGCTCTTTTGGCCTCTGACACGCCCCTTGATGAGGGTTCAAACAACCTGGTATGCTAAGATTGAGGTCTTAGAGGAAGAAGGGTTTTGGGGTTTAAGGGTTTTTCATCAGAAGTACAATGACAAATGAGGCTGCTGGTTCAGACGCTAACCTGAATCCGAAATCGTAAGCTCCCTAGAGCTCGCTACTTGTAAGGCCAACCGCTGGGCAGAAATCCCGCAATCTCTGAACATCTTCACATCCTGAACCCTAAAATTTAAAACCTAAACCCTAAAAACGCTAAATCCCGAACCCTAAACCCTAAACCGTAAACCCTAACGAACACCTTACCGCGATAATTTTCACAGCCCGTCGGTCATGGCGCCTCGAACCCCGAAACCCTAAACCCCTCTTGGCCTACGTCATGGAACCGGCTTAGGGTTTTTTTTATATAGGGGCCTGAATCATTTGAACAGGGGTTTGGGGGGTTCCTTTAAAGGGTTCCTTAAAGGGTTCTATAAGGCTATACGGGTGTAGGGTGTAGGGGCCTTAATAATAATAATAATAATTAGAATAGGGTTTTGTTTGGGGTATATCATACTATGATTAGAATAAGGACCCCCCGAAATAGTATTGGTAATATTTTTTCAGGCCCTTCTATTAGGGGGCCTAAGCCCGAAGACCTCCGTAGACCCCAAAGCGAGTCCCTGAAAAGCTGGGGGCCCGCACGAAGGCGCCAAGTCCAGAGAACACGACCTGGTGCGAAGAGGGTTTTTAACATGGGGTTTAGGGTCTTCGGTAGGTCCAGTACAGGGTTTCAGGTAGGTTAGGAGTTTAGGGTTTTTGGTCGTCGGTCTAAAGAGGGAAAGCGGGGTGCTGCCCATAGGGTCGGGTTGTTGCTACATGTGAGTAGGATCTCTTCGGTCTACTTGGAGGATCATGGGACTTAGTGACAAGAGTTATAATTAAGGTAACTGTACTTATAATTACTTATAACCCCAATTAAGGTACTTATAACCCTACTTACTAAGTCCCATGATCCTCCAAGTAGGCCATAACCAACAGAGAACTCTCAGGCGGTCAACGAACCAGGAGACACATGTCTCCAACGTCCTCTCCGAGTAGGAATGCAGCAGAAGACATAAATGTAGGGGCCTTAATAATTAGAGTGGGGTTTTGGGGCCCAACATACTATAATTATGATAAGGAACCACCAAAATAGTACTGTTGACAATCATTTAGGCTCCTATATTAGGTATAGTGAGTATAGTGTTCGGCACAGGAAATCCCAATTCTCCAGAGCTTCTCCTTGGACATTTCATAACAAATCAGTGTCCTGCTCAAGGCTTTAGGGAGACCGGAACAAGCAGTGCTTCTACGGCGACAAGGGCGATGCCTACTTACTAGTACTACTAGTACTACGACGACGGCGACGACGACGACGACTACTACTACACAAAATTGTAGAAATCAGAAATACAAATATTGGCAACATAACGAACCGTAAACATGATACTGACAACATCTGACAACGGTACGACAAATCGTAGTACTGAAAAAAGGCAGTTAGCAGTTCTATTCACCAGCATACCACTGGTGACTTAGTGAGCAGATCAGGAAAGTCAGAAAGTAGTAGCACCAGCTGTCAAGGATACGTACTGACGTACTAAGCGCGAGCCGCACGAACCCTCGGCTACCAAGGACCTGCACGCTGCAACCGGGACTGTCAAGCATGAGCCGCATGAACCCTCAGCGACCAAGGACCTGCACACAGCAAGCTCGGTGATCTGCGGCCGGTAACCCTACCCTGGCAACCAAGTACCAAGTCGTTCAATGGGCATCATGCAAGCCATTTTATGCCGCGGTGTTCCTCAGGAGTGGACAAAGGCTCCTAGAACCGCTTGGTTCTTGTGATTGCTGGCTGAGTCCCAGACTACGTTAGGCTCGAGGCTTTGGGTTAATTCATAACAAAGGGAGCATCGTCAGAATAGACAGACTGGCTAAATAAGGACGACAACGACCGGTACGACTATCACCACAAGCACCCAACAAGACCATAAGACAAATAACTGCTCAAGCAGTGGCACTTGAAAGAACATGGCACTCCGGTACATACTTCCGCAAAGTTGCAAACAAAAGCATGCTTTGGTACGGGTGTGTCCCCTTTACAACCGTAAGAAGACCATAGGAGACGAAAAAACACAACACACGTATGGGATCTAAACCCACATGATGTAAATCTTGGGAATTATATGGTATATTCCTAAATTATGGGGGAAAGCAGGACGTATATCATCAACCGTAGTTCAGCAGATCGGGCTAGGTATCGCCCACTACTGTAGGGGTAGAAATGACCTACACTATTTTTTTTTTTTGGGGGGGG